TCTCTAACCACGAGGGGGGATGAATCCATGTAATCCATAAAACTGAGCCCCAATATGGCCTGGCACGGGGAAAGATCGAAAAGAAGGATTGCTGATTGAGACCTCATCTAACCATTAAGGTGGCCATATCTCCTATATTATAAATAAAACTAAGTCCCAACCCAAGCCAGAAATCACCCAGCAGGCCTTGGGGCATGGGAAAGACCGAAAAGAAGAATCATTAGAGAAGGCCTCACCAAATGATGGGGTCAATCAAGTGATCATCGAAGGCATAATTGAATCCCAACCCAAGCTAAGAGCATATCCAATGTGGCCTTGGGGCACTGAGAAAAGAGCGACAGGAAAGACCGCTAGCCCAACCCGAGCTTAAACCCATCAAATACCCTGCAGCTAGGGGTCCTCAAAACCACACCAAGGATTTCCTTGGCCCCAAGCCCAAAATCAACAAATATAAGGTTCCCAAGATAATTATTCCCTATGGCCTTATGGCACGGGAGGAGAAAGACAAAAAGGACCATCGAGAGAGGGATCACAAGAAGGACCTCATCGGATCACAAACCCATCAAACACCCTACGGCCGGGGATCATCAAAACCACATTGAGGATTGCCTTAGCCCTATGTCAGTAAGCCAAGGCTGCAGTGAAGGACGAGTCATCTTAAACGGACCTCTCACGGCCATCAAAAGTGCCCACTAAAGAATGCCACTGCTCCAATAATTGAGGACCTAGGGACATAAGTCCCCAACACTAATTTTCTTTACCAGGGAGACTATCTTACCAACCCCTCAGGTACCTCAAGAAGACCTCCTAGAGATAATTCGAGGACCATCTGCACCATATATCACAGATGATCCACCTAAGTGGGATGATCTTAATGAAGAAATTGATACTAAGGGTAGATGGTGGGACTTTCAATGTCTCAAGCCCTCAGGCAGTTCCCTCACAACACGTTGATGAGCCACACATAAACCTTTTGAGACAGCTTCAAGGGTCAGCCTCACAGCATCTCACGCAAGGTCCACTGAGGTGCAGTCTCAGCGAACAATCCTCAGAATGCTGATTCAAACTTAAGCTCCATCGACCCAGCTGTCTTCATCCAAAGGCTCCAGCAACACCCGAGATTTGATGAGTAGCCTCTAAGGGAAACAACCCCTCCATTACCCTCAGAGGCCCTAACCTAGAAGGACTTACGTAGTTGGATGATCATTCACCCACTCCTGAGCCAAGCAACGCATTCACACCCTCCTAGGCTCAACAATGGGGACATTGAAAGCCCTATACCACCTTGGGTTTGAAAGGTTTAAACCTTATGTCCAACTCTTAATGTGCAATTCACATGCCTTTTGGGAGAGCCCACTAGACGTCATACTCCCATTCCATCCTGACAATCACATACATGTTTTTAGGAAAATTACATAATTTGAACTCACCACACAAACATATCCGGGTTAAAGGCCTATCTATCGATCCGTATGTCTTTGTCCTATTGGTTCAATTATCAAAATGCAACACAAAGTTGTGGAGCCAAAACTAGGTGCATGAGGCAATCTGTACACCTAATCCCTCTCTTTTTGGTGCACCTCAAACATGAGCAGCCTTTTCTAATTCTGTTTGAAAGCCACAAGAGCACAATAAAATTAAACATATCTGAGGGAAATGCAAGATACAAGGACCCATTAAACTTAATTTTAATGAGCCTAGTTCTCTGGACCAAGTTAAGTACTGGGAAGCCAAGAGTGACTCCAAGTCTGGAGATCTTGAGGCCTGAGTGGAATGATTCAAATAGGAGTTTAAAAGGAATTCATCGGCTGCAATCGAAGAGGTGTTGACACCAACTTTGTTGTGGAAGGAGACCCGAGGATAACTAAGAACATAATCACCCTACCACCTTGAGAACATATATTACGGTTGTATTCTGGGGTGACATGTCAAAGAAACCCCAGAAGGGGCAACTAAAAAATCAGAGCATCTCACTTCAGATCAATGGTACACAAAAGCCTTCAAGACAGTGACAACAAAGACCAAAGCCCCACACTCCAAAGGCGCAAGCCGATGGTACTGTGCACTTGTGTCAAGTCAAGGGAGAGAGAAAACATTAAAAAAATTGGTTTGGTTGAACCCCTGAAAGGGCCCCTATGTTAAAAATTTAAAAATAAAGTGATGAAAAAAAATGAAACAAAAGAAATGGTCGGGCTGAACATCCGAAAAGGTCCCCTTGCTAAAAGGTGGAAAAAATGGTCAGGCTAAACACCCAAAATGGTCCTCGTGCAAAAGGAAACAAAAATGAACAAAAGAAAAAACACTCTCTCCCCCCTGAGAATCGAGCAATGGCAACATGTGTGCAATTGCCTAAATGCATTAGCCGGTGGGCAAGGCCGCTACGATAAACTCGAAAGATCTCAACCATCTGAACTGTAAAAGTCAGTAGTGGTGAGGACAATATTGAAAATCCAAGGCAACCCCGAAGCACTAGGGGCAGTGCCCATCACTTTCCAAGATCAAGGGTCGACTGAAGACCTTAACATCCTTCTGTGGATCATTACGCAAAAGCCAAAGGATTGCCACAAATTTAATTTATTATTTTTTAAATTATATATATAGGGTTCAGTCTAGGACCTATAAACGTTTTTCAGGTCGAGCCGGATCCTGACCCGGACCCGACCCGACATGTTGCCACCCCACCCTGGGACACAATGTTTCCCGCAACCATTTTTCGATATTTTTTAGTTCCATACTAATATAATTTGTATCATTTTCTAAATGAGACCATTGTTATTATTCTGATTCTGTTTATTTTTACTTAACTTATAAATAAATTCCACATTTTACTGAAATACATGAAGCAAGTTAGATTGGGGCTTCGGCTTGAATCATTGAGGTGTGTGAAACGTACGCCTAACCCTTAATAAGCCGCCCAAAAAAATACATAAAAATAAATATTTTTAGGGCCCTGAAATTAGGGATGTAACCTCTTCAACTTATTGCTCAACCTCAAAAAAAAAAAAAAAAAAAAAAAAAAAAAAAAATTCAAATGCAGTCTTGATGTGCCTTAATAAACATCATGAGATCGAATAGAGGATGTCTAATTTTTAGATGGTTGGATCAAAGTATTTAAACGCTCAAAATCTAATTTTTGTAAAATAATCATTAGGTGGATCCAAAAGTTTTAAACGAACAACTCGACCTAAGTAGCTCTTTCACCCTAGGAAGTAAGTGTACAGTATATGCTCTTGCCGGACATTGCTGCACTCTCCCCAAGATACTCCTTGAGGAAGCATATAATCTTTTGGCTCTAAGAGCCCCTTTGGCATACTCATGTGGGAGAGCATTTGTATAATCACTCCCTCAAGATAATACCTAATTAGGAAATTTTTGTTTTCAGGATGAAATTTTTAGATCTACTTTGTAATCCTCATTTGAGTATGCTATAGAAAAAGAATTGGATTTCGAGTTTTCAGGATCTAGCTGTCCCAAATTTGCATGGTCACCATTAAATATTAGAACATTATTTTTTCAGGAACATATAGAGTAAGTGTGGATGTTTTCTTTTTGGGTTGGTCACTTGGTTGATGAGATTGGGTCCCTAAATTTTTTGTTTATCTAAAGGAGTGAATATACAATATGCTCCCACGAGGGCATATAATCTTTTGACTTTAGAGAATGTTGTAAAAATGGGTTCAAAATTCTGTTTCCAGGGAAAGCAGCAATTTGAATAGAGATTATCCTTTTTTTGGATAAAGGTGAACGATATTAACAATACTACATCTTAAGTTCGATTGCTATCACTGAACCACTAAAAATAAAATAAAAAAATATATATATATCCTAGGTTGAAATTATGTTGTGATTTGATCCAAGCTCTTGAACATGGGTTTCACATGATCTGGCAAAAATTTGGGTGTGTAAAGATTTTGTTATCATTCTTTTTAAAGCAAACATGTTCTAAACCACAAGCTTGATAATGGGCCTATTTCAAGCCTTTTGGCATTTGTAGTTTGCAAAATATAATTTGGTGGTATTACCCCACACCTTAGTCGTCATGTTGTGGTTTTCATTTCTACAACTAACACCAGTCATTAATACCTTTAAAAAGAAAAAAAAACTAACTTCTAATCTACTTGAAAAAATGGATAGGAGCTTGTCTTCCCCAATGAATTACCCAAAAAAAAAAAAATACAGAAACTGTAAATTAAGATGCTTTATTATATTTATACCTAATGTCAACCTTGGAAATAGTTAAGGGGTGCGGTTTCTATAAGATTGCAACTTTAAACAATCCAATTAAGATGCACCTTAAAATTTTATCATAACATATAATTTTGTTGTAAAAAATTCTTAGTATTATCTTAAAATCTATTTTCATATCTAATTAGAAAATTTTAAATTACAAAAATGGTTAAAATCAAGTAGATCTATAAATATATGAAAATCTTGAAAATGGACGGTCTAGATAATGTGTTGCAAGATGCACTATTTCCAAGATTCAAAAACTTTTTGTTTTTCATATTCATAGATCTTGATGTCGAGATGATTGATTAGAGAGATTTTTCAACATTAAAACAACATTTTCGATAGATTTTTGAGGTGCATATGTGATTCTACATTTTAAGGTTGCAACCTTATATAAACTTTTCCCATAGTTAATACAACCATATTTTACGCCGAGATTGAGAAATAAACAAAAAATTTCCTCTTAGTGATGAATTGATGAACCCAAGCATTTGTGGCTTTCACAAAATAACCAAATTATCCTTCTACCTTCCCTTTAAAAATTTAATGCAAATAATTTTATTTTCCACACCATAATTTTTAGATTTTAAAAGTAGTTTTATTATTTATTGGGTTCCTGCATATGCACACCAATCAGAAATACACTTATACTTCACTTTTCTGGGTCAAGTTAAAAATGAATTTCTGGTTTAACCATAAAAAATCACGGCTCATCTATGGCCTAGCAACAATTTCTCAAAGAAAAAGCAAAATCTATGTACCACCTTTTTTTCACTGGTAAGCTTAGGATTTTTACATGCAACCAAGGTTTATCCATGATAAAAACTCCAAACCACAAAGCTGTGAAAGGGCATCACATAATTGTTAATACAAGTAGGTGAAAAACTCAAAAAAACATAAAAACACCTCATTAGGTGAAATCAACATTAATAAAGAATCTCACCTACTATCATATTATGCCATGCCCCAATTGTGCCAAGCTATGGTCCAAGATCACCACACCTATGTTTTGTATGTGCCCCTTATTGCTTGACCTTGAGAACCTTTCATGTGTTACAACCTCAAGGATTTACCTTGAAAACTGATGCCAAGAAAGGTTAACAACTCTTTCATTGGGGAAATTAGATATCTTCTTTGGGCAAATTATATAACTTATCATTGCCCCCACTTCATGAGGTAAGGAAAAACATGGCAAAGAAAAACCATGCTTAAAGATGATGACCCAATTAGGGTTTAGGCTTCTTACTAGGACTCACATGGTGGAGAAGCCCAAAACCTTTGAGAGCCTTGGAAATTTTCATCAAATTTGGCCTCCTAAGCCCAAATGACATCTTCCCAGTTGAGAATCTCAATGCATTTAGGCAACAAAGTTGAGGCTCATCATCCTCCTCTTCTTCTTCTTCTTCATCACTCCTGTCAAGATCAAAACCACCAACTCTCCCCAAAGCCCTAATTTTCCCTTCCTTTCCCCTAATTTTCCCTTTACTGTTCAGCACCATCCTTTTACTCTTTGCCCCCAAATCTTCCCCTTTTTTCACTGTGTCCTCATAAACCTCCCACAAAATGTCCATTCCTTCTCCACTCTCTTCCCCTGAAACACCAAACCCATCCACAATAAGCTTCCCACCCAATGTCTCTCTCCACTTGTTTTGCTTCTCCTCAAAAAGCCTACAAGCCAGGGTCCTCTTCCACTCTTTCTCTCTCCTCATAGACTTGTTTGAGGCACCCCCATCTCCCAATTTACCACTCTCTCTCTCTACATTCCCCATATCTTCCTCACCTATAGAACTGGTCTGGGACTCTGGGCTTAACTCTTCCTCTGAAACTCCCAGAACTGCTTCAAGGGACTCTAGGCTTAACTCTTCCTCTGAAACTCTTAGCCCTGCTTCAATGAAGTCAAGGACTTGAAGCAGCTGAATTTCTACTTTTTCACCCAGTTGAGCTCTAACTAAGCTCACCACCATGAGTGAGACATTTGGTAAGAAGCCACTGATGTATGGGGAACTTGGGCTGTGTTCATGGTGAGATTCTTGAGGTGGGTCTTTTTGCTGGGGTGTGATGCTGATGAGTATGAGGAGGAAGAGAGATGTGGAGAGGAGGAGAGGAGAGAGAAAGAAGAGGGCCCTTAGAAGGTAAGGGGAAAAAAATATGATGTAAAGGGAGTAGATGGGGTATGAGCATGCTAGAGAGAGCAAGTCATGGAGGTCTAGGAGAAGGTCTTGGAAGTGGGTTCTGCAGAGGTTGAGTTCTGTAAGCTCCATGTGTGCTAGAGAGAGAGAGAGAGAGAGATGTTGTGGTGGTTGATGGTACTAAGAAAGTGAGCAGGCATTGGGATATGTGAATTCCATTTTTTGCAAAACTAAAACTGAGCCATCAGGGCCTAAGAGATGTTCAGGAGGTGGTTTCTGAGAAATCCATTTCCTCTGGGCCTCAATTCTGTTTTTTTTTGTGGGAGAGAAAGAGAGAGAGAGGGAGAGAAGGAGGAATCTCGAGTGCAACCAGCGTGAATAAAGGAAGAAGAGGGTGAAGAAAGGTGTTGTTGTGTGGGTGTGGAGAAAAGATGGGGTAATCTTTAGAGAGAGAGAGGCGAAGGCTGGTCGGGTAAGCTTTAGAGAGAGAGAGGGGGCCAGTTAAAAGGAGAGATGTAGTTTGGTAGAGAGAGAGAGAGGATCAGTTTAGAGGGGGCTGTAGTTGGTTGAGAGTTAGAGAGAGGGTTAATCTTTTGTTGAATAGATAGTTCATTTGAGTTAGAGAGAGAGAGAGAGGGTTAAAAAATTTTAGTTAGAGAGAGAGGGAGGTTAATCTCTTGAGTTGGAGATGGTTGCGTGAGAGAGAGCGAGAGGGAGTTGATCTTTTGGCATAGAAATAGAGTTTATTGGGTTAGAGCAATGTTATCAAATTCGCTTCCTTTCGGCCCGATGATGCTTCCGTATAAACTTAAGCGAACGGAATCCTAATGCTATCGTTTCGATCAGATTTGGATGTGTTTTGGGTATGTTTCGAGATTGCTTCGACCGGTAAAAAAATACTTATATAAAAATATATATTTTTAAATTTTTTTATTATTTTTATATATTTTATATATAAATATCTAAGAGAAAATATTTCCATATTTTCATTTTTAAGTTTTATATCTTATTAGATTTAAAGATTCAAAACATACCATAAATCATAAAAATTCTAAGTTTTATATCTTTTAACTTCCGAAACTAACATTATTTCTCTTTAAACTTATTTTTTTACCCCAAATAAATATAATAATGACGTATTATTTTTAAATACAGTTCTTTATTTTTTTGCCCCAAACAAATATAATAAAAACATATCATTTGTAACCATCAATTTTTTATTTTTTTGTCCTAAACAAATACAATAAAAACATATATCATTTCTAAACACCATAAATTTTCTTTTTTCACGTGATTTTCTCTTAAATCTTTCTCTCTATGACTTTCCCTAAAGTCCATATCTCTCTCTATTTTCCACTCTCTCTCTCTCTCTCCATGGTTTATCTATGTTTATATATTTACTTGATTTTTATGGATTTTTTCTATTGATTAGTTGTATATTATTCGCATTGATGATTAACTGTATGTAGATTATGCATGTTTTTGGAACCCAAAATAAGAGAAAGGGGTTTCGGGAAACACAGGGTAGAGAGTGAAAGCGAGAGACCTCGAGAGAAAAAGTGAGAAAAAAAATACACAAAGAAAAAAAGGGTTTGAGAGAATCTAAAAAACAAAAAAAAGTCAGAAAGAAAAATTCCAGAAGAATAGATAAGTAAAGAGATGAAGGGTTTATAATGAACATGTTTTTTTTATATTTGTTAAAGTTAAAAAAATAGTTAAAAGCAGATAAAGTTAGTAAAAAGTTAATAGTCATATTTTAAATCTTTGGGTCTATTCAGACATGAAAACGAAAAATAGAAGTTAAAAATAATTTTTAAAAAAAAATGAAACGTCGAAACACTAAATTACTTTTTTTTTTGTTAAACAAAAAAGACTCAAGAAAAAAATGTGAGGGAAAAAAATGTGAGGGTTAGAGGGAGAGAGATTTTGACTTGGAGATGAGTGAAGACGGTTAGTGAGAGAGAGGTGGGTCAGTGTAGAGAGGGAAAGGGAGGGTTGGTGGCGTGAATAAAGGGCAGAGAAGAAAGCGTGTTGTGTGCGAAGAGAAAGGAAGAGAGGTGAGTCTTCTCACATGCACCCCACTCATGAATACTCGATTGCTCAAGGGGCAAGCCATGCACCCTCTTTAATTTTGCCTTAACCCTGGGTCCCACCTGTTTTCTTTTTGTTGGGTTGGTCCCCGAAATATAAATTCATTCAAATCATTTCTCTACTCTTTAATATCACATTAATAACGCCATATAATAATATTTATTCCAATTATTTATTTGAGCATGTATAATATGCTCTCTCGAGGGCATAGTTCATTTCTACTCCTTCGGTCACATGTCCTATTTCAGAGGATTTTATTGATCTGAAATTTTGAAAATTATTTAAAAACTATTAAATGAGTATTTTAAAAAATTAAAATTTGAATTTTCTAATACTTAAATATCACTATCTAAAAACTGTATGGTTTTTGTTTAATCCTAAGACATTATTGTTTTCAAATACTCGAGGGTACAATTAAGAATTTTATTTAAAGCTAATTTATGGTTGAAGAGGTTACATCCTTAAAATTTGAGGTCCTATAATTAATTGCAAGTGGGGTTTTACTTGAAGGAGTAAATAAATATTCTAGATTATCTTATAGCATTGTATTTTACTAACACTTTAATATTATGCCTCCATGACCCCAAATATTTTTCGATAACAGTTAAAATGTTTTCCAAACTTCAAATAACATATCCTGAAACGCACAAAAGACCTGTCATTAATTAAATTTTTTTGGTATACTGGGTAGTAAATTAGTTGAAATTTGCTTAAATTTTTATTAATCGATCTGTGATTTTGATTAAATGGGTGGTTTTATTTGGGCAGTCTTACAAAGATACATATGTCCATAAAAGGCATACTATAATACCACTCTTTAAAGTATATTGGTGATAATTCTGATAAGATATATGTTAAAAAAAAGAGATAATTCTAATAAGATATTGCCAAAATATTATTTATATTTTTTATAAGTATCCACACGTGTCTGGTGACCTGGAAGCTTCTAAAGATGTGTGTCGGCTTAGTCAGTCGCACCTGTAATATCTATTCCGTGGATGCTGGGCCCATGCTTTGAAATGGACGGATGAGATTAAAGGACTAGTTTGCACCCACTTTTTAAAAGTCGTAGAGGATAACAAAAAGGAATGTTCTAAATTTGAGTTTACCAAATCGGAAATCCGGTGCTAAATCTTGTCTCCTGTTAAACAATTAAAAAGGAACAAATGGATACAAAATTAAAGATGGTGGCCAAGTGGGTTTGCTAATTTGTTGAATGCATTTTGAGCATTTACACTAGGATTCCAAGGTGAATCCCGAAAGCTATGAATAAACACATAGATAGAAATTATATAATTTTTTCCGGATATTAAACTTCCCATGCACAACCTTTCGTTCCTTTTGGCGTATATTCTCAAGTTTGAGAGTTTGTTGCTCGCATATCAGGCTTAACTTTCAATTACTAGAACAAAAAATTTAATATACACGACGCAAATCTTGAGCCTTTGATGGCGTGTGCTCTTGAATGGCCTTTATAGGTTTAATTATTCTAAGGTTTTTAGAGAGAGAAAATTAGGAGAGATAAAATAAGCTTTAGGTAGAGTGAAAGAAAACCTATTGAGAAGCATGTGCAAGACTATTCATTTTTCTATGAGGGAATCATAGAGTTATCTTCCTATTTTAAATAATATTCCCTTGAGTCAACCTCAACACTAACTAAAAATTTCATATCACATATTATTCCCTTATTTTTTTTCTCTATCACTAACAAATCTAACACTGCCTTGGACATACCTCTTTTGTATTAGCCACTAAGAATATAGAAAATTTTGTGATCGTCGCTTCACTTATAAGGAGCAAAATCCAAATCCATTATCAAAAGTGGGATATGAATTTGTAGCACCTTATATTATGTTAGTTGGATTACGTGTGTTGTACATAATCCATAACGATCTTTCATGTACATAATCATATAAATACGTAACATATAAATTTATGAATTTTGAGACTATTCGTATAGCATATGTTGTTGATATGCCCATTGCATTACTCTTAGATAAGTACAGGAACATACATTTCTACGTTAACATTTGTTTAAAGAACTCCTATGAATTGAACACTAATTTAGTAAATCAGACAACAAATAAGATATGAGTGGTTTCTAGAAGTATGATGTATTTCCTATTATGTAATATCATTACAAATTTGCACCATCTTTTAATATTTTTAACGATTGGGTAAACAATTATTATCACAGATAAATATTGCACTACATAACAATGAACATATGTTATTTGATTTCATGGAAGTACAATAAGCATGACGATAAAAAAAGGGGAAAAAAAAAGCATAGTATGCATGTATAGGGCCAAATCTATTGATTAACATTGCACTAAACAAAAATGAACATATGTTATTTGATTTCAAGAAAGTACAACATGCACGATAACATAAAAATGAAAAAGAAAAAAAAAACATGCATATATGGGGCCAATTCTATTGATTTTTGGTAGTTTTATGGGTGCATGCATGGACCATTATAGATGAAATAATAGAAATCCGATTTTTTGCAATTCGGAAGCTATTCACAATTAATTCCTCAAATGGAATTCTTTTAGAGAGAATAATTTAGATAAGTTTTTTTTGTCAACCTATCCTTCCATTCTTTTTTTAAAAATAAACAATCTCATATTATTTTTGGCAAATTATTAGAAATATATCATAAAGGTTTCCATATTTCATATATACCACAATCTCCCATTTAATATACTCATACCCATTTTTCCATATATTTTTTAGGATATCTATACTACGTTATAAGCCAGAGTTAAGGAGGAGACACGTGTCACGAAAATAAGAAAGACCCTAATTTTATAGAGATTATAGGAGACATTCTCATCTTTAAGGGAAAAGAGATTTGAAATTGGCAAGTAGGAAGATATAAATATTCAAACCTATTCTAGAAGGGAAAGAGATAGATATTGCAATCTCATAATTTTTTGTTTAAGCTTATTTTTGGTTGAAGATATAGAGCATGGAAGAGACGGATTAAGAGAGAGAGAGGGAGACATAGAAAATAGGATTTGAAAAGTAGTAAGAGAAGGATATTAGAATGTACAATAATCAACAAAATCAAAAGAGATGCGTACCCTCTCAAGTCCTACATTTAAAGGAAGAGAGAGACCAAAGAATTATTGTAAACAAATTATTTTTAGGGCCTACTTATTTTTTTAAAATTCATTATCATGTGCTCTAGATAATAGGCTGGTTAAAATTTGGAGATTTGGATTGGGTTCATATGGATATTAACATAATGAAGTTGAGCATGTCTATGGTAAGTATATGTATCGCTTACTCGATATGGATGTGCAATATATATCATATAGAGATTGACCATATATAGCCAAAAACATGTTGTTTAATACA